AGAACTAATTGCTGCTCCTGCCATTGGATGATGGCACAAGCCTTTGATAATTGTGGATTGGTGACTTGTAAAACATTTTGTCTTTCAGAGCAACTTGTTTTTTATTGTAACATTTGGGTTGAAATTCTCTTATGTAACTTATGCCTGAGGAAAGGTGATGATGTCACAGGTAGATGTGTGCCTTTTTTTGTGTTCTGGGATTTCTCAGGCAGCTCCTCTCAGAATTGGATAGCAATTCCCAGAATTCTCCAAGAATTCCCCAGGTAGAATTCTTCAAGTAACAGTTGAAAAACAGAAATCTGCACACCTTTCCGGATCCTCTCCCTCTCCTCATTGTCCCCCATCTTTATTCAGCCCAAGTCAATTGAGGGGATGATCAGATGAGCAAATAGTTCACTATTTCGTTCACTTTTGGAGTGGTTTGGTTCACTCTATTTTCTGGCAACCACATGTGGTTTAAGTAAAAGCCCTTTTCTGGCACAGCACTGGGGCTGCAGTTTATTTAGTACAATTGAGAGCACCCCTAATTATTCTGTTCTGCAGTCAGTCCCAAATAGAGTTGTGGGTGGTGGTCTCTTAAGTGACAGCCTTGTGATATATGACAGAGAAACCCTGTCCTGTATTTTTCTCTTCTCACCATTTTTTAAAAAAAAACATATTCTCCTAAGTGATGCATCACTATTTCAGATATAAATGAGTATTTAGGTTGATGTATTGTTGTAACACTATACCACCTACTAAATTTTTAAAAAGTGGCCATAGCCAACAGAATGACAGATATGACAAAAGGTGTGAATGTCAATAATCTGAAGCCACGTGAAGGGCTATCTGGATTGCTGTATTGATGTAGCACTATACCACCTACTAAATTTTTAAAAAGGGAAATGGTCATAGCCAACAGAATGACAGATATGACAAAAGGTGGGAATGTCAATAATCTGAAGCCACGTGAAGGGCTATCTGGATCCTTCTCATGGAAGAAGAAACCTCTCCCATGCAAATATAAGGATCACTCAAGTGAGAGATGAAATGGATCATACCAAAGACAAGAGTCTTTCAAATATCACCCAGATCACTCTAAATATTCTCATGGAAGAAGAAACCCATGCAAATATATGGACCACTCAAGTGAGAGATAAAATGGATCATACCAAAGACAAGAGTCTTTCAAATATCACCCAGATCACTCTAAATTGCTCTTTTTAGTCACACTCTGACTGGTGTTGTTGAGCTCCTGGTTTTTCAGAACCAACATTATCACCAATACATTGGCCATAATGTTCACCAACAGGGAGTGACATGCTTAGCGGTGGGAATCACAATATGGATGGCTGGCATTGCCCTCTGGAATCTCCTCTGAAAAGTTACCTTGGTTGCTGTTGCTGTTGCCACAACCAACTTCCAACAAGAGCAGCAAGAGGAAAGCCCTCTGCAGGGCTCCCAACCCCAATGGGCAGAACAGTATGAGCAGTGAGCTGGCACCCACCCACTTGCATGCCCAGGTGTCACTGGCATTGCCTGTGCTTTCCATTTCCAAATTGGAAAGACCACCTCCTGGCCCAAACCCAGAGAGCTAGTGATGGAGCCACCTCCTCCTTCTCCAGCAAAGAATCTCCCAGGCTGTGGGGCACCTGGTGCTGGATGGTAGTGTCTCATTTTCCCGGTCCTCCCTGAAAAGAGAGATTGTTTAAAAAAGGAAAAAATTGAGTGAGTGGAGGTTCTCACAATTTCCATAGCTGCAATGTCGCCTGAGAAGCAGCTCAGGAAACCTCCATGGTAGAGGTGTGCAGATTTGTGTGTTTGGTTTGCAATTCTTGAAGGTACTGCCTGGGGAATTCTGGGAGTTGCTGTCCAAAAAATAACAAATCTGCGCATGTACATTCAATGGCAAGGGGGATTTTCAGTCATGAAAAATGTGCTGCTTATATACAGCTCCATAGTATTTCAAGCATTCTCTGGGCAATTTACAATTATGCAGGCTACGTATTACACCCTACTGAGCTGGGTACTCATTTTACCAACCTCAGAAGGATAGAAGGCTGAGTGAATCTTGAGCTGGCTGCCTGGGATTGAACCCCAAGTTGTGAGCACAGTTTTGGAGGCAGTACAGCAATTTAACCACTGTGGCCATGAAGCTCCTTAAAGAAGGACATCCTCCTTCTCTTACTTGGCTTATCTGACTCCTAAGCAATCTGTTTCATTGTGTGGAAGCCATGGCATCTGCAGACAGAAGTATTTCATTATCCAAAATTGCTGCTGCATGATGATGTTACCAGCAGGGGGATATTTTCAGTAATTAAAAACTTCCTCCTTCTTTCCGCGGCTTGCACACAGCTCCCAGTGAATGAACTAGATTTTTCAGGAGTTGGACAAGCTTCGAAAAGAAGGGTGAAGTCTTTAATTACAGAGCATCTCTCCCTGCTGATGACCTCATAACTCTTCTCTGAGTGTAACTTCGACAAGAGGATTTCAGCTTTTATCTGTATTTTTCTGATGGCAAGGATTTGGAATATCTCACATCTAATACTAGAAGGAGGCAAAACAGAACAAAGGTAAAAACTGGCAAAGATGTGAATGTTTTGCAAAGAAACTTCAAGCAGAGGCTTGATATACACAGAGAGGATGGAAAGCCATGCTATGGACCAAATCAAACATTGACCAAAATCCCCTTGTCTCGTTATGCTAGTGTAACACCAACAACATGACTTTTGGAGGAGAACTGCATCAAGTTAAGAGATCATATAGAAATTATCTATTGCATACTAATTTGTGTGACTCAGCAACTGATAACATCTACAGTAATTTTTTGGTCTGAGGCAGTTTGCCTCCCAAATTTATGCTATTTGTTTAGCTATGCTAAACAAATGGGGTGACTGTCAAGAGTAGACATTGTCTAAATGGGCGTGGTATAAATAAATAAATAAATTAAAAAATAAATCATATAGAAATTATCTATTGCATACTAATTTGTGTGACTCAGCAACTGATAACATCTACAGTAATTTTTTGGTCTGAGGCAGTTTGCCTCCCAAATTTATGCTATTTGTTTAGCTATGCTAAACAAATGGGGTGACTGTCAAGAGTAGACATTGTCTAAATGGGCGTGGTATAAATAAATAAATAAATTAAAAAATAAATACAGAAGTGGCAGAATGCCATCTGCAAGTCAGGGCAACTTCTGATAGGATCAGTGCACAACTTGGTCCTTAGGGTGGAATTGACGCTTTATCTGGAAGAGTACATAGTAATTAGCAGCAGCTCCGTGGGGAGGCATTGAAAACTAAGAATATGTTGAATTGGGAGAGGCTGCTTAGTCTTTTCTTCCCATGCCATTTCCCTAATATAAATAATTCCACTTTGAGTTTACATTGTTTATGTATTCAAAACAGTTACACCCTCCTCTCCAGTTGGAAAGGCATCCAGGGTGGCTGACTGAGAAAAACAAACAAATAAAAAACCCAATATAGTTTCTGTCTTCAGGGTTCAATTAAAAAAAAGGCATGACACAATAGGAAAGAAGGACGGGGAGGGGACGGGAAAGGAAAAACAAAACAAAAGAAAAATGCCTCGGATGTGGTTGAGTCTTCTTATCACAATCAGCTGAAATGAAAACAATTCAAAGACAGGAAGAGTCCTGGCTCAATGTCCTGTTCATATTTACCTTTGTACAGCTCAAACAGCGAAAGCTGCTGTGACCATCGTACTGGGATAGATTAAGCACACAGCTGTACATGACTGGCACTTTGCCAGATTGCAATCACAGTTTTCGCAATCAGAGCTCTGTGCATTTAAATATTGAAATAGGAGTTTTAGCAACCTCATATGCTCTCTTTGTAGGTTTAAGCCAGGAAGTACTTTTCTGGACTGGGGTGACTGTCAATCAATCAATCCAGCAGTAACCAATTGTTTCTCCTGCCTCTGATTTAAAAGAGATGTCCCTCTGCTTAAGTGTTTCCCCCCTCTCTTTTAGTCTTCTGTCAGTTGGTGCTGTTAGAGAGCAGTTGTACAGTTAAAACGGTTAATAATGTAGTCCGTAGAAATCTGCTGAGGCCTGAAAGTCTGCAAGCAGTCATTTTTGTACACAGTATGCTGCTTTGAATTTCTTCAGAACTGTGAGTAAAGGTAACCTTTTATTCCCCCCCCCCCCTTTACCTATGTCTTAAAGTGAGCTATTGAGACTGGGAGTGCCATTTCATGAGACAATGAGGGGTGGCATACTCTGAGGTCACTTGAAGCTAATTCTGGTCTGAAAGTCCCTGCACTTCTGCTGTGCAGCTAGAGGAGTTTAACCAGATTTCAAAAAATCTACAACAGATACTCTCCCCAAATTACTGATCTCTCAGTTGAGGGGATGGAAGCTTCCTCTTTCTTGCCTCTTCCCCTTCCACGCCCCCCCCCCCCCACTTTGAAGATCAACTTAGCTCTTGGAGACTGCCAGAGGAGCGGCCAGCTTGACAAGTGGTGTTATCAGATTGGATTGCATGGGATGTACTTATTGACAATGCCTGATAAGGATAACTGACACTCCGCCCTCCGGGGGGACCTACAGAAATGTACAGACCACCCAAGCAAAAGAACAGATTCTATGATTCATCATAACTGACATTGTCCCTATGAAGGGATAGTGTGTTAAAGTTTGAATACTTTTGCATCGCTTTCATTGAAAGTTATTACAATATTGTATAACTAAGTTTCTTATTTACATAAGTGAAGTAATAGGTTTTAAACCGTTGAGGTTTTGTGCCCCCAAAACTCAAAGAGCAACTGCAAAAACAGGATTTTAACTGAAGTCAAATTCAATTCTAAAAGAAATAAATTCATGTCTTTCTCTCTGAAGGTAGATAATAGTAATAGCAGTAAAACTGAAAATCAACAAGTGGTTTCAGTATTAGCTGGTTATTAGAATATATATTACTGTAGTTCTCATTAGGTGCATTATCTGACTGTTTATTATATTTCATAAATATGCAAGTGAGGGTTTGAGCCCGGTTGTCCTAGCCCAGCATGCTAACCACTACTCTGAGCTTCTACAATGGTTTTCGAGGGATGCTAATATGTCTGAGGTAAATGTTATAAACAAGAACCACTTGTTTATTTAATTGATCATGTATTCATACCCCTTTCAGGACTATGTATGTATGTATGTATGTATGTATGTATGTATGTATGTATGTATGTATGTATGTATGTATGTATGTATTTATTTATTTATTTATTTA